GTCAATTATTACATATGTAAATATATTAATTAGCATATATATTGGCAGGTGGGAAAGTAAACATGTGTCAGTTAACATCCAGTATGTTTTGTCTAAGATTTAAGGGGGCCCCCCACCAAAAAAAAAAAAAAAAAAAAAATTATTTATCACCCCCTTTAGAAAAATAAAAATAGAAAGCCATCACTTTTCCAGTCCAGAGAGGGTGATAAACTAATAATTATTTTTATTGGGCCTATTATAAGTCCTACAATAATAATAATAATATTATATTATAAGTCCTATAATAATAATGCAATACAGTAGTAAGAGGGAGGATCAAAGTGATGATAATATTGATAATGAGAAAACAGGTGATGTGCCTGGAATATGTATAATCACAGCTGCCTAAGTTCATAATTATTTATTAATAATTTATAAGTCAGAGCTAAATATTAAAGTTAATATTATATATATTAAGTAGAAAATGTTTGGCACATGGGTTTGGTTTGGTTTGCAAAACTTGAGGTCATGTTTTCAATCACTCTGTACATTTGATTGTTTCCTTGAGCAAAGCACTTTAGCCACTTAATCTACATTGCTTTAGACTACCCAGCTGTACCAATGCAAGTACACACTACAGAAATGGGATATAGTTCAAACATTAGGATCCCAGGGAGGGGGGGGGGGGTGGGGGGGGGGGGGGGGGGGGGGGGGGGGGGGGGGGGGGAGGAATATGCGAAGTGCAAATCACCGAGTACGGCAGGGGTTGGTGTGAAGATTTTTGTTTAAAGATGCCAATACAACATACAGGCACAATTAAGAAGAGAGAGTTGTCATGAGAAAATATAAAAATCCTGGTTTTGATTGGATTAGAACCCAGAAGCCCCTTTAAACCACCATGCCTCACTGTCACTATATTATATTGAGATGGTGATAACAGATGCTATTAAACCTATTTTTGAAACCACTTTCCACAACTGTACTTTACAAATCTAATTACTAAGTCGACTGAGCAATGACTAGCTTAGTTTAAATTTTGATTTATTGATTCCTTCATTTATCTGCTTTTATCCTCTTGTTTGTTTATTCATCTAGTGATTGTTTTTACTATCAATTTAGTCTGTCAGGACTGCTCTACTGTAAATAGGTCACAATTAGAATTCCTCATACTCCACAATTATTCAAGTAGGTGATTTGTAATAAATTCTCACTTTGTGCTTGTGAAAACAAAACACTGATGATAAATCTACCCCTTATGGAATAATGGACTAATCCATTTGCTTGTTGAAGATTAGAACTTTCTATGATACCTTGAGCAATTATTGTTCTGGAGTGTTGATCTTTTGATGTAATTTATCATTGTTTATTAACCGACATTACTCCAGCATCTTCATCTGTCAGGTAGTACTTTTTGAGTGGTCCATCAGTATGCTGCTAAGTATAAACATATCCAGGTCGAATTAAGCAGTCCATTAGCTAAACCTATTGAATCAAGTTGAGAGCGAGGTGAGCTGGGTTCAAACGAAGGTCACTCCATTGAATAATGGGCAGAAGTGAGAGCAAATGAGTTCAGATATTGGTCAAACAGCCAACACAAGTTCAGGCTGAGGCTTATTAGGTGACCACAAATTTACAAGAGCTTTTGTTTTCCGGAAAAGTGATCTGCTCCATTGAAGCGCAGGAGTGTCATCTATACCTTGATGTTGTCATCATCTCAATGCTTGTTTGCTGTTGCTATGGCACTGTGATAAAATATGAAAGATTTAAATGTTATGTTATACTATAATAAAAATGCTCTAAGTTTATGCTGATGGTTAACAAAAACAAATATAAGCATTAAACATTATCTCGCTGTTACAACCATGCTTGCATTGTCATTACTAACACAAATATAAATGTATAGGTACAAAAATATTTAAAAATAAAATTACAAAACTAGATTTTTATTAGGTGTTTAGATCTTAAGATGAGAGGGAAAAAATTAGCATTACGGCCAGGATAGCACATAAAGGAAAGGGTGTAGAGAAGGGTAGAATGAAGAAATTATATACTGTATAAGATAAACATATTCTGATGTTATTGTTATTAATGTATTATTTAATATTTTATTGTTATTATAACTACTATTATTTTCATTTATTATTGTTATTGTAATTATTATTATTGTTAATATTTATGTATTTTTATTGTATTTTTTATTATTGCTGCTGTTATCAATATCATCAGTCTCAAAGTCGTCATCATCAAAATCATAATCGCCATCATTTTTAAGTAATATTCATTAAATAATTTATTGTTATTGCTTACATTAATATATTATATGAATATTTAAAATTTTTGTTATTTATATATTATTTTATTATTGTTATTATTCATGTTATGATCTTATCTAATCTATTTGTTGCTGCATTGGTAACTGTTTTACAAAACATAATTCGAAACCTTTCTGCAGGCTTCCTTTAAATAATCACCGAACGTACTAATCAGGTTATTAACAAAAGCGCTGTTATTAAACCGGTTACGCATCTGATTCTATAGAAACAAACGCCACAAGGCATTATTACTTTAGTAATTAAATGCGTTCGCTTGTATACCCATCAGACCCTGTATGTAGGTCATACCAGGTATCTCATCAATGTTGTCTGAAATCAAATTATTCATCGATGGTAGGATATTGAAATTATGGCGGCCTTCAATCGTGCTAGAAATTGATCATGAGTTGTTTGCGTCCTAGGGCCGAATTTGGATTGATACCGATAGGCCCAACATATTGTTTGTTGTTCTGGTGTTAATTGCTTTTTTTTGTAATCCCACACTTTTGATGCAGATCAATTACCTAATTTATCACGTTTATTCATGCCATATTTTAGGTCATTATTCATGGTATCGGTATCAAAAACAGTCTATACTTACAAATATGTTACATGATATTGTTATTTGGTTCTATATAATTTGTTTATTGACGAGGAAAGTATTTCTTGTTCAAAAATTTATAATTGAAAGGTAATAAATTACTTAAATTGAGCAAATTGAACATTGAATTTTATTGTTCCAATTTATTAGATCAACACAAACAATTTGTATATAATAATTTGGTATTTTTATTATTTATATTTTAGTAACTGGTATTGTTATTGTTAATAAGTTATCAGTTGTAAGGGTATATTTAACTCTTAAACATGGATTTTTTATGTTCTTTGTTATATAATTTTATTTATAAACTTTTGACTAAATTAAATTTTCTAAAACCTTTTTAAATATTTATATTATTATTATATTAATTATTAGGAGAAATAAATAATGATTATATTAGAATTTTTACACAATACTGTATTCCAGAAATAACCACATCATGGCTGTGTTAAGATAAAACCCCCTTCCCCAGGAGTTACTAAGAAAACCAAGTGTGAAATCGTTTAGAGTCAACATTAAAATGGCTAAAACCCCAAAAGTGTATCTCCCCCCTAGATCCCCCACATTAGGTGAAAGAACATCCTCACCCCTCCCCCTCCGCCCTCAAATCCTTGACACCATGTACTGTATAGAGTAAGGAATGGAAATAGAGTGAAACAGCGATTCTATGTTTATGATTCACTAATATGTTGGGCTGGGATATTGTTTATTCTATAATTTGCAGATTTAGGTCAATATAAATAAGTGGTTTAATGTATACATAATGATAATTAATGATAGCGTCAACACGACCTCATTTATTGCATCTAACTTGACTTAAATGCCAAAGTGATATCAGCTCTGTTGGCCCAAATAATGTGACCTCAATTTGATCACCGGTATAATTGCCAAGTCCTTTGTCCCGCTGCAAATAATATTTACAATAGCTGTAAATCCGATTAATGACCTCCACTGGACCATCAAATTAAGACCACGCAGTGAGACTTAACTAACAACAAGGGTCAGTTATGGGATATAACGGTCAGCTGGCCAATATGTAGGTTGCTAAATGGGATAACTAGGGCAAATTAGAGGTCAGACGTAGTATTAGTTGGGTTTTTGGGTTTAGGAGATCGATTTCATTAGAACAGAAGAATTGTAAAACCACCCGAGTTTACTAGTGTGGGATTTTAGTTGACAGACCTGTATTTACATTTTCACTGTTACATTAAATTACTGTTTCACAACTAGTGAAATTACAATTTCAAAATGCAATAAAAAATTTTAACCTTTAAAATCCATGCATAAATGCATACTAATTGATTGATTATCATATTTCAATGTCTTCATTATTATTCCTGTAATTTTATTACATAAAATAATAATGCAATAGATATAGCACTCATTGCATTTCTAGCCAAAACTGATGTTACATTTTCAGTGTATGTAATCTGTGTCAAAATTATTTTTTCCATATGTTTGTATTATTCTTTATGTTCTAGACAGTGTACATATGTAGGCCTATTCATTTAACAGTGATCAATCAACATTTTAAAACATGTAACAATGTTTTATGTAAAATTAGATAAATAAAAATTGTCAATAAACAGAAGATTATACACCGGTTATGCAAGACTTTATTTATTCCTTGTTTCCGCCCTCCTCTGACGATTAAAAAATAATAAAAATAAAATTTTGTGTTCTAAAGTTTTGCCAAAAACATCCAGACAGGAGAAAATAAAATAAAAATGTTATTGTTGAATGTAAATGGTAAAATGCTTTGAATTTACATAATTATTTTTATTTGAAATCATTATTGGCAGGCGGCTGGGGTCACTAAACAAGGTATAAAAAAAATCTCGTCTAATGGATTTAATATATAAAATGCTAGTTTCATTAGTTTTTTAGTAATTGTCCAACTACTGTATAGATTTTTCCCAATTTCTACATTAATTTAGCTGAGAATTATTTTTAAAAACTTGCAATATAAATAAATAATAATAATAATAATAATAATTTAAATTTTTGCAATTTGATAAAATATTTGTAAAATTAAAAATGTTATATGGGCTAATTACATTTATTATGACTGCAGTCTATATATTTGATTGTAAATATATATCTTTTAGGGAGAATTATCAACAACATCTCGTAGCTATGACGACCAACTAAAAATGATGAGTGATCATCTGTGCAGCTTGAATGAAAAGCTGACATCTCAGAAGGATGAAATTGATTCGCTCAAGCTCTCAGCGAAGGTAGGTAGTGACAGTACCAGAAATTCAAAATATAGGGGCGTAGGTCCAAACAGGTCCGGACTACCTCAGATCTTTATGTCTGGCATTCAGATTTTCTCGTTTCTTTACTAAAGGGACAAGACTGCTTGCCCCTCCCTACCTAGAATTAATTTCCTCTTGTAGGTAGAACAAGTAAAGTATTGAGAAGAGCGAAATGGATATTGGGAAAGCATTGAACTATTATAAGGGAAGTTGGAGAGGGAAGAATGGTAGGGAGAAATGATTGGGGGAAAAGAATAAAATAACAGGGAAGGGATTACCAATAGGGAATGGGAAAGGGATGAAAATCATGGGAGGAGATATTGTGTATGTTGCAAATCTTGGGAAATATTAAACTAATGTGAAAAAGGAAAACAATGAGTAGAGAAACTATGGGGAATGGGTTAACTAAGGAATAGGAAAAGTGAAATGAACAGCAAATGAGTAGGGGGAGGGGTCTCAGGTGTGTGAGGTGTCGTTAGCACCACATAGTTTCTGGTTTTTGTATTTATTTACAAATCGTTTTGTTATAAATTGAGAATTTAGTACAATACATTTTTTACCACAGGAGTTTAATTCACTTTGCCCACCTGAGACCCCCCTCCCCCTCAACCAAATCAAATCTTTCATTACAATTACCTGTGCTGTATCTTGATATATGTTCTGGATTTCTATTGACATAAATAATTTGGACAAAGATTGATTTGTGATATTGTAATGGTGTTAATAGGTGGAGGATGTTAAGAAATGTGTCAGTAATAATTCTATATTATTTGAGCGTGTAATTTACAGCCTGAGTCACACTGTCCCTATTCTAGAAGTTTTAAGCCCTAATATTATACACAAATCCACTGTAGAATATATACTCCCTGAGTTAATGGGCTCTCCCATTATTGAGAACAGGGGTTTTCTATTAGGAAAAGCCTGGAAACGGTTTGAACTGTTGAACTGTGGTGTTACGTTTTATGGAGGTTTTATCCTAGATACTGTTGTCATTGATCCAGATACATCTATGAGTCGAGTTTACCTGCCAATTATTATGACAAATTTCTGGTGAGTTATATTCAAAGCAGAAAATGATGCTAAATCAGAAATGTAACTGGAGTACCTCATTAATACTACAATTAGACTGCGATATCTAATTCATAGAAACAGATGTTATCGCTATTAACACAATTTAACACCGAGTTAAAAAAAGAACAACTCGCAGTTAATTGAAGGAAAAAAAAAATCTATAAGAAAAGTTCAGTATTACTGTGGGTTCTGGGGTCATAGAACTGTCTGGGGATTCTTTTTTCCTTTTTTTTCTTTGCGTTTTAGAGCGCGAAAATCCTTGATTCATCCGCCATGTGAATTGGTGCGTTGTGAACACACATCATCTTGATTTCTGGAGTGTGAATCAAATTAATCGGTCCCTATGTAGCCGACATGTATGAATATTTTAAGTCTTGTTTTTATTTCAGCAGACTGCAAAGAAAGGAAGAGGAAAATGAGGCCAGAGTCATTATCATGAGCAGCAACCTGGTCCAGGGACAACCTGGTCCCTAGGCAACCTGGTTACTAGGAAACCAGGTCCCTTGGTAACTAACCATTCTAATGATGCATTTCTGGTTAATTTACTATTAATTTCTTCAGTGTAATATTACTCAAGAGCTGTGGCGTTAATGTCAACTTTATTTTAGATAATTAATTTGCTTGAACTATAAAGTTAATTCAAACAACAAGATCAACTTTCATTTCATATATATGGCACCAGTTTGTCTAAATGATGTGCATGATATTAATGGGGAACTGAAAGCATTTAATATTTCTAAACATACCCAAGTTAATTGCAAAATTCAGATAAGATCTGATGGCTTACAGTATATGCAATTGTATTTGACGAAGACTTACTATATATTTTCATTATCATAGTATATATATATATATATTGATTTCAAAATTAGGTTAAATTTTACTAAATTTTGTAACTTTCAAAAAAGCATTTCATCTTTTGACCTTATGTTGAGTAAATGTTACAGCGTTGAAATCTGAGACAGTTGGTAGATTGTTCCCCCTCCCACAAATACTTGCATACCATGTTCCTGATGATCCACACAGTGTAATATTAAATGTATAGGCCTATGAGCCAATCAGAATGTGGGAGGGGGTGGTTTGAAGGGGGATGTGTGCTACTGTCGTTGTCTTTTTTCACAAATGCAATAGTTGATGCCATTTTATTTGGACATGAGTTTATGTGTAGTTACGATGTGTTAGAAACCTGTATGAAACACGATCCAGAAATTGAGGCTAATATGGCCATATTTAGATGGAATAGCAAAAGTAACTTTTAAAATATGGTGTTGTAAGCACCAAATATTTATATTTTAAAGGAAGTATAAAAAAAGGTACTAAAATTATCATTATTATTTTTTTTAGTAACATTGTTTCACTTTTATTATGATTACGATTATACTAGTATACAGTTTTCAAATACAGTAAAACCCCTATTAAGGGGACATGTTTTAAACCAAAAAAGTTTACCCTGAATAGGGGTTGGACGTAGTGTTGAAAGATATACATTTCTTTGTTTCGTGGCTGGAAAAAAGTGTCTCCTAATAGAGTTGTCCCTTTAATAGGGTGCCCCAGTGGATGGGTTTTATGTATATTATGTTCTCTTGTTCTATATTATTGTTATTGTTGAATGGTATTCATTTTCATTATCTTTACTATTACTTGTTCTATCATTATTGCTATTATCTTTATTACTGGAACTGTTTATTATTATTATTATTATTAAACAAGATATTCATCATTGTACATAGTGCATTTAACTATCCTATACTTGTCCTCTCAGCCGTGGGCCTGGGTGTGTATAATACAGTCCTTACTAACTAATTCCTGTAGCCTACGGTGGCTCCAGAAATCTGCAGACAGGGAATTCAACTAGTCCTACTGGATTCTAAATAGTGGCGGCACCAGAGGAGGTCAGCAGGGGTCTAAGCCCCCCCCCCCCATTGGACAGGACAAGATCCCTACTCCACTGGCCAGAATTCATCGGGCAGGCGGACCAAAAAAAAAATGGTCTAATGAAATGAAATCGTGTTTATTGTATTGAGTTTGAGTATATACAGTAGTAACAATTTTATTTTATCAACTTTACATTTAAAAGTATTTTTTAACTCATTAGGGAGGGGGGAGACAACACTCCAAAACCCTCAATCCTAGAACCACCACTTATGCCAAATCAAGGGGCTGCACAACACTTCCAGTAACTGTCCCAGTGTAAAACCCTTGTTAAGGGGGAAGGGGAAGGGTAAAAATTGTGCTTTAGACCATAGGAAAAGGAGAATGACTTTAGGCCATAGATGATGCCTGTCTGATAGCTAGTAGTGCCAGGCCATAGATGATGCCTGTCTGATAGCTAGTAGTGCCACTGCTGTAGGTGATTTTTAATTCAGCTAATAAGTGTACAGTATTAGGTTTTAGACTTCAATCTTTGCCCTTCTGAATACCGGTATGTATCTGAATTACAGTACTCTTAGCAAAACTCCTGACCACCTTATAAAAACACTACTGTATGAACAAGACCAGACTTCTCTGCTCTCTCAAAACGATTTATATGTTTACCACCAATGAACTATTGTAAACCATCACATGTCACATCAGACAATGAGCCTTTCTTCAATGATTTCCGTTGACCAATATAAGACTGTCAATTTAGTTTTGTTTTCTCAGGGAATCGAAACTTGGAAGATGTAGAATGGGTCATAAAGATAGTTGAATATTAGGTGCCCCACTTTCATTTTCTTTCTACTTTTATCATTTGTTAATTGCCACAGATATGTTTTTTGACTTCTAAAGTTATTATTTCTTAGACTTGATAAGCTAAAAATCCCATTAAAATCATTGAATTAAGTAACAATGAAATGATGTATTGAAAGTTTTTTTTTTTTTTTATACGTGAACCAGACGAACTTTTTTCAACATAATAGAAAGTTATGTTTTCTGGTTGGTTTGTTGGTTGTAATGTTTTTACATTTTGGTGGGTGTCTACCTACCCTATTTTTATTATGCAAATTGTATTTAGCAGTTCTGGTGGTCTGTCGTGATTATTGGCTTAATCTGCTATCTAATACTGTTCTAACTTAGACTACTTGCACCAAAGGGAGTCTATATTTTCAGCCATCAAAACGTACCTTTCTGAATAATTGCTCTCTATTGGTCATACCCTGCAGATGCCGCATATATTCAATTAAATGTTTAAAATGGAATACAGTTCTCTAATTGCTGTAATGCGGGCCTAATGGTGATGAAGAAGACCATATAATATGTTACTGCAGCCATGCCTCCGTCCCTTTCCCTAAGACTTCCCTCTTCTCTAAAGCCTCTTCCATGTTCAAAATTATGGATCTCTCTAGTTGCTATAACATTCATCTCATCTATAGCCTGCTTGCATCCCACTGCTGGGCAAAAGCCTCTCCCAAATAACATTACATCGGTTAATCTAGCATGTTTCTTCTGTCAGGGTAGGAAATGTTTTCGTATCTTAAATACAAGCAAACTTAGTGTGTTTTCGGACCTGCAAATGGTGAAAGATTGCTTGCCAAAGTTTGAGGGTAATAAATTAGTTGACTATAAGTAGTGCATCAGATGACGTTACTAGGTTAATGGAGCAATACACAATTCATATCTAGCAAGGCTAGCAATTTATTTTTGTTAAATAAACTTTAAATAGTTCATAACATATTTTAATTAAGTTTTTTAATTTACTGCGGAGATGACAGCGTGTTTCCTGGCGTTCCGTGACAATGATCTGAATATTGTGAACTTAAAGCCTTCATTCTAGACCTGTGATGATGGTTGCCATGGCAGCAGTCATAATTCTTCAAGTATGAGGTTTGGCACCATAAAGTTCATGATATTGATTTCTTGTTTTTAAACTCTAAAGTACATGAAGGCTTAGCATTTGGCATTGAAGTATTGAAGTTGAAATTCTCCATATAACACAGATGTGTTCTATATAGTACAATCGACACAGCATCAAGGGTATAATTATATCTGTATTCTAAAATGTTTAAATTAGCAACATTTATAAGAGCTATATTTTTGAAAACATCAACTTGAGTATAAATCGCAATATCATTCATTGTAATTTTTAATTTCAATATTTTAGGATTTCCTTATTATTACTGTATTTTTAAGGTTTTAATATTAGTTATTTGTCCGTTCCAAGGCAAAGCAATGTAACTTCAAAAATATAAAAGCAGTTATGTGTGTTTTGTTGGACGCATTTACATTAGACATTTATCTAGAATGTTACTACTATAATTATATTTATTTACAAACAGTGGAGGAACCAAGGCAAAAGGAGTGCTCACACCCTGGCAGCAACCAGAAAATCAAGTGTTATCATTTAATAGATAAGAGATTAAAACTCCAAATAGCCCCTCTCCCAGGGGCACCAAACTTTCCTTTATTGATGCTATTTGTGGAACCTTGGCGACAATAACAAAGGGGCAGTCTTAACAGAAGTGTCCATTGTAAGGACAAGAAGCCACTGTGAATTAATATTCATTATATAATAATATTATTGTGATCTAATAATCTTGATATCATTAAGAGAAAATGAGATACTGAGAAGCCAGTCATTTGAAATTATACATAATGTACTTAATTTTGATGAGTACTGAAGATTAGGTAATAATGCACCCTTAAAATGCAAAGCAAGTTACATGAAGATTATTGGTGCAAATTTTTAAAAATCCATGTTTCTTATACCAAGATAGTACTTGTGTGGCAAGTCGAGTCGAGTAAGGTATGGGCGCTGCTAACTACAGCCTTTACATTAGCGAGTCTTCTCGGAAAAAGGGCCCAAGATGGAGGTCCAGTCTACACATTTGTGTGTACTTTAAAGAACCCATGCATCTTTTGGGCCTATGGTTTATAGTTCTCATACGAGAAGACCGAGATTCAAACTACACCAAAATTTAGGCTGCAGGTAGCAGTACCCCTTTCATACCCTCCAAACACACAGCACCGAGTGAAACTTGAAGACAGTCTCTAATTCAAGTATCAACTTAACTTTCATCTGACAAGAACCAATGTTTTAATGCTGTTGACATGAGGATGGTTAAATTTCTGTTGTTTTATTGTTGCTTTTGCCTCATGAAAGGTGGGACAAGAAACATGGGAATTTTTTTTTTAATCTATCGTGTAAATTGCGGACCTGGTTTAACATTGAAATAATGTTCCTTTGATAACAGTGTATTTAAAATAAAGTTCAGAAGCAATTTACTTTTGCCCATTATTGTTTTTAATGTCATTGATTACTTCATATAAAATCATATCAATCAAAACATTTATATGAAAATCACTGTAAGGGAATCTACAGTCTCGCAACACGGAACAGCACCATGAATGCATTTAGTTGATATGGCACAATAGAAAATTTACATTACTTTGTATCTAAACAAAAGAGATATTAGAATTTCCAGTACTGTTGTTATACAAGCAACCAATTATAATAATAATTATGGTCTATCATATGTAAATATAGTGGTCATTTTAACTCTCTCATTCACTCAATAGTGAAGTCATAGATAGTATTCGTGCACAATTTCTGATGTATAAAAAAAAGATACAGGTTACCTTGACATTGTTGTCATTAAAAAATGCCTAAGAAAAGTTGTGGTGAAGTGCCTACACTTTCGGCTACTCTACAGTGATGGTACGAGGATTTTTCCAACTGGAAAGGCAGATGACCCCAAAGTGAGTGCAAGTATGTGGAGCAATTAGGGTGGCGCCCCCGGAAGCTCCAACAACTTAGGAAAATTGTATTGAGCTCCCTAAAACCTCAAAAGCCTCTTACTAAAAGATGGATAAGGTCATCAGACTGGAGATCTATAGGACCAAACATTAGAATATATGTAATCCCCTCGCACATTTAGGTTCATAGTTGTGTTTGCTTTAAAAATGTGTTTATTATTATTTCCTTTGATTTATAAAGCACCTCCAGGTTCAAATTTGTGGCATTATATGAATACATAATTATTACTATTGCTAACATTCCAAGAATGCATACTGCTGATTCTATAACAGGCTTGATAGATAAATATAACATTAAGAAAGATATTAATTAAATATTTATATAACTTTTAGAGTAATATACACAAAAATTCTTTACTCTCTGTTAAGTTAGTATCAATTGTAATTATATGGAAATAGCAAAATGTACAAAATGCAATCATGCAAATAATTCCTCATTTTGAAATAAAAAATTCAATATCCAAATTACAAAAACTTTTCTGTCTGAATACAAACAATAAAACATTAATAACTTGATTACAATAAATTTATGCTATAAATAAATAAATATACTTGTCAAAATTTAACCACCATGATTTTCATCAACCCTTATATCTAAAGTTTCCTTATAATTTTCAGACATAGCATTTAAAAGGCAAAATATGGTGTTGCCCAAATTCAATTGACCCAACATTTAAAAAGTTAATAGTTATATATTGTTAACCAAGAAGGAGATGTATATGATGTATGAAAAACCACTTTATAAGCAACCAAAATGCTAGAAGAATGTGATGGCTGGCGATATATTCTCATATATAAAACGGGACCTAAAATAGTAAATTATCATCGAAAAACAGCGGGTGGCCTTACGTACAACACATACAATTTTTAATTTTTAAATCATGTTTGTCTTAGGTGCGGATTGTCCGTAACACGGGAAGTTACTAAACGCAATTTTGAATGCGGGGAGAAAAGATTTTGATGAACACTAAATGGAACCACTAAATGGAAGATTAGCCTTACATTTGGCTCCATATTTTGCCAGCTAGATGCATATAAAGATCATAAAAGCAGCAAAAAGTAGGATTTCTGACAATGAAACAGGAAGGTCGTCTTACACGCCTGCCCTAAAACCTATGTAAAACGCATTGCCAACTCACTGACCCTTATTTCAAATATCACTACCAGGGCGCTATGTGTATTTTTGGACTATAAAATGATCAATGTTGAACCTTAATGCCTTTCTTGAACTTTGAATTGCAATTTCAAAACTGCAATTTAGCACCATCAATGCTATTTGGGTCAGTACTTAACTATGACAGTGGCCGAGATTCTGTGCACTGTCTTCCAACAATAGAACTTACATTTTCCAAAATAGTGAATTAATGGGGGCTCATGCTTAAATGATCTGACTACCTACATTTCCCACATGGTTTTCTCATAACCTGTTAAAGTATACATTTAAATATTTACTATTTTAACTTTAAATCTCGGTCAACATCAACATCATCATCATCACACCGCAGGGTGAAGGCCAGTCTAAGACGTCACAAAAAAAAAAAACATGTTTCACAAGCTTGAGAAAAATCAACAATGGCAGTGACCTTGATCCAAACATTTTCAAGATTTGTGAAATTTCTCAAAGCTTAGCAGCAGGTTGAACTAACTTTCCATTTGTGATCGGTTTCTCCTGCAGCAGATAAGGAACAGGGATCATTTCATCTGTAAATATTAAGAAAAAAAAAACATGAGATTGTTATCTTTTTTGAAAAAAAAAAGTGATTTGTATTTTCTAGGTTAGCACAATATTAGTAGCAAAGCAACAGATGTAATCTACATCAGAAATGTTGCCAAAAATCTTGTGAATCCATGAACCTATCTGTCCTGGTTAATATTCATCTGGTTTTCCACGCAAACACACTCACTTGTAACCCTCTTGAGGACGCAGACATTTCATAGTCGCATTTTAATGATCGTTTTAACCTACTTAGCGAGCAATCAATTCCTAGTGTCAATTATCATGTTCTTGTTAATATTTTAACCCCTTTAACCTCTTTTCTCTTTTTATCTTTACTTCCTTTCTGTGCCGCACTGCAAGTCACTTGATGCCTGATATTGTTGAGACGGAAACAACCAGATGACGAATTAGAAGAACAAAGGAGTTCTGTTATTTTTTTTCACACCATATTTTTACCACGTGAATTTAAAGCTGGTTTTTTATGCTCTATATCCTATTTATGAGGCTTGTAGGGAGTAGCGATAAAAATATATATGGCCTAGGTTGAACTCTACAATTGTAGTTTTATCAAACTTGAAAAATTAAAATAAAAATGTTTAAATTGTTTTTCATTAATTAAAATTAGATTTGAGAAAGAAGCAAATAAATATAATTATTAACATTTTTTTTTTTAATTGAATGTTTTACATTCATTAATTGTGAGAAAAATGTTTTTTATTCAGGTGTGATTAAAATATTTTTAAAATTTCCATTTATTCATGATAGCAAGTGTGCCAACAGACCAAAAATAAAAATAAATCATTAGCTGTGGGCAACGACTTGAATCGTCGAGCGTTTAAGACAAGGACGCTGGTTCTAACGGCATGTTCGCCTATGATATATTTTATGTCCACAACTTGAGGAAGAACAGCTTTGTAATATTTCATTGGAAAATTTACTGTTGAATTGAGTTTTTCCGTGGTTAAATAAAGATGATATTTTTAACTATAAACCATAGGCCCAGTGTACACAATTTGGCTCATGTGTACTTTAAAGACCCCGAGACCATATTTCGAGACGAGTTGGGGGAGTGATCGGTGTACTGGTTCATACAGCCGCTGTTGTGGAAAGACGAATGTGACTGTTACCGGTTACAGTATGAGCTAGTCCATACCTCGAGCACTTCGAGAATTCAACTACATTACATTAGATGTTGCCTTTCTTTTATTATGTTAAAATTTAAATTAGACCATTTAACAAAACAGATTTGACTAACTTGACTGGAGATCCTTTACAATCATTCTAAGTTTTGTAACAAAAAAAACCTTCTCACCTATTTCACTTGCTACCTTATTGAGAACAGCGTGGTTTGTTTTTAGGGATTTCTTGTCTCTGTAAAAAAAAATGATTTAAATTTTAATTAAGTTACGTACAAATACATTTCCTTTATGTATTTTTATATGAGAGTCAACGAGAAGTTTAAAAAAGTGAAATATCAAAACAATAGTACTGCAGTATAATTGTACTGTAGGCTGTTATTCACCAAATGTAATTGATGAATAAAAGTGGTGTTTGTCTTGACACAAAACAGAAAAAAAGTGTACACATACATGTGGTGGATGACGAGAGTTGCTGGTACCGGGTTACTGGGTAGCACAGACACGAAGGGACCCTTAAGGGTGAAGAAAGTCACTGATCAAGTTCCTAGTCCACATATCAAGCGCCCTGAGCATCTTATGTTAGATGGATATGGCGACATAAAACTACACCATTATTATTATTATTATTATTATTATTACATACAGGTTGCCTATTATTACACAATAGATGTCATATTCTTGAAACAGTGTCGGTTTTGTGCTAATAATCATGAGAAATATAATTTAATATTTTAATTGCTTATACATTATTATTACCATTCTTATGTTTTGCTAATGCTGTAATCAATTTAAAGATGTTTTGTAAATTTTGTATTTCATGAAAAGTTGACAACTTTTTACTCCTTTTAAATGAATAATTAAATTTGTAAGGGGTTTTTTCCAGATTTTTGACAAACAACATTTCTAGAATTGTTTATTATTTTTGTTTACAAACTTCAAATCAGTAATGCAATGTCCGTTGACAGGGGTCCAAATTCACCACGGCTTTGCTGTGTGTGTGAGAATAGGCATTTTCCGACTTGAAGAGGTTTTTAAAGCTGTGCTCCTCGACTAATTGACTAATTCCGGGGCACCTGCAAATTTCCATCTCCCCCAAACCCGTAACCAGAGGGAGATTTGGGGGTTTAGCAGAACCCTCATTATTAAAGAAACACTACTGAGTTGAACTTAGAACTTAGCCTATAGGAAACTCTCTTCCCCAGAATACTTAACTTATGTGTACATTTGTTTGTTACACACCCAGAATGGAACTTTCCAAAATATCCCAAGTGGCAGTGCTGAGCGGAAAGGTACATTCTCACAAAAGGGAATAATGGAGGCTGCAAACTGTATATGACTGACACTTATTTGATTTCTTTCAACACCACCTACCCTGATTTGTAGTTCACCAGTCCTCCAAGTTGTATGCAAGTTTTGACAGCATTGTCAAGAAGATTTAGAGATAGGATGTCATATTCAACCAAGTCACCTACAAAACAGCAAATTTATGTCACAATTTTAAAACAAAACATGCTTTTAATGCAAAACAAATGTCATAAATGCATGGTCAAGGAATATACTTAGTACACCAATAGTCAAATTCAGTCAATTTCAAACTAGGTTCAAATCCAAGGTGGCCACCAATACGGTGGCAGACCAATACAGAAAAATCATAAATCTCATAATAGTTTACATTAAAAAATCAAGAAAAACCAATTAACAATTTCCTCATTAGTTTTTACAAATAAATACCAAAGCTAGAAACACACTGATAAGTAATTAGGCCACAGAGGCCTTCCATACCTAGAAGAATAATAGTCTTCTCTGATTGGCTGAAAGTTGTTTTACACAACAGACAACATTATGATGAAGATGCAAGCCTCCTACTACTGGTATGTGTTTACTTTTTAACTACACATGATTTCTACCTTGATATAATCTATGGTAATATAAAACTAATTAAAAATAAATAAATAATAGTAAACTGGACTAGGCTAGGCTTATCTTATCTTAACAGGCCAGTCCTATGAACCAAATCTACTAGGCCTAGCCTAGCCTGTCTAGCCTAGAATTGGACCAGGCTTAACAATACATAGGCCTAGGTGTGCCTTGTAGTAGGCCTAGGCCTATGTAACACTGAATAAAATTAGCATACTTTAAGAAGCAGTGTATTCTGTACTAAGACCACTGAAATTAGAATAGAAGTTAGCCTTCAAAATGTAAATGAAGCATTCAATAAACAATTTTCATGGATTAGGAAGTTTATTTTTTTCACATGCGCTAGCCTATGATAAGGCTTTGGCCTAGGCCAGGCCTACCCACATATTTGCTATGCAACAAATTCATACTAGAAGTAGACTATCATGCTAATGGCAGGGAAATAAAGCATTATAATTGTTACAAAGTAACTGTGTAGCTATTTTAAAGAAACCAGGTTTATACTGACATTTAAATTAAAGTATTTTTTCTTTCTAACAAATACCAGTGACTTAACAATTATGAGCACTTGCTGAATAAAGTCAGGGGCCCCAAAACCATGAGTGGCACCAGGATGGCTTTAAAAAAATTGCCAATAATCAGCCAAGTGTAGCCCTTTAAAAGGTTAAAAAAGAGTAAAAAAAACAGCATCAAAATGCTTCTTTAAAATGTCAAAAACACAAAAGTGGGTTAGGCCCTATGTCCCACTGGGCTCTACACAAACTCGGCACACATGGTAGTAGGGTAGTAAGCCTTAGCCAGGGGCTCCAGGCCTCTTTGTTGCATCAACTGCATATACCTTCTGCTATCCTGCTTGCTACTACATCCTGGATCTTTCGAGTTAATGCATTGCCAATGGTGATGTCATCCTCTGGATTCAAGCTTAGTAAATACTGACAGACAAACTGTAAAGAAACGAATTCATTTGATCAACAATACATATGCGCCAAGGATTGTTAATAGCAAAATATATCACTGTCATACCTGTAAGTGACAATCCCTTTTACAAGATGAAGATACAGTACAGACAAAATGCTTTACACAAGTTAGATCTCGATATGAGGCTTGGGGAATGGGGTTGTTTTGGGTGTGACAAAATATCCTGCAACACCAACAGGAATTGAACCCAGGACCCTGGGATTGGAAGGCAAGGATCCTTACTACCAAGCTATTCACCTCCTCTTCTAACATTGCATCAGATGCACATCCAGTAAGGCGGACCCACCATTTTGCCACTAAACTAAAAAATTAAATGGAAATTAGCGCTATTTGCTTATCTATTCTGAAAATGTTGTGTGCTTCCCCCCACCCCACCCCTGTTTGAAAAATTCTGGATCCGCTAATGTGCATCGTTACTCATATTAATTTAACCACAAGTTCCTTATCATTTATAGAGGAAGAAAGCTGTCCTGTCAAATACACTTGTTTTTAAAATGCTACAGTTTTCAGTGTTTTATGTAACCTAAAAATATGCTGTGGTATAATAGGGAAAAACTTTAAAAAAACCAATTATACATTGTACAAATATTAGGGTCATATACCTTATCAATTTCCAAAGAGACTCGGATAAAAACAAATTCAATTTATACACTTTTTACTATAAAATCAAGCATCTAAGGAAAACACTTTATAATTTTTAATATTAAGCTAAATATACAAGGTAAGCAATTCAGATATATAATTTAATTTTTCTAATTTTTTCGTTTAACATCAACATATGGTCTAATACATTTCTGTGTTCTGTATTCATTCACGTATGACCACCACATTCCAATTCTTGATACAGTTAAACTAAGTACTCAAAGGTGGATGAAAAAAATGTAAGTCAGAAACACGAGAAGAAGTGCTCACCCAGCTACCAAGTAAAAATGGGTGGAACATCTTCTGTAGGAACTGCACCAGGGTCACACCATGTGTTGTCACAGAGATGGTCTCACCAGATATCAACACAAAGTATGATGCATCCAACTTCCTGAGGATTGCTTCAAAATCCTGAAGGAACGTAGAAATTATTGGCATTAGTCATACAACTCCGATTCTTCTGTACAAATCAATGCAGATAATAGTGGGTGGTTACTATCATGCCCATTCACATGGGTCTCTGGCTACTACATTAGTTTACATGGGTCTCTGGTTTTCATGTTTGTTCACATGGATTTCTGGTTATCATGTTTGTTTACATGGGTCTCAGGTTATCATGTTTGCAACAGTAGGTGGATCTCTGGTTATCATGCTTATTTACATGGGTCTCTGGTTATCATGTTGAATTTAAAATTCTCCCGAGTTAACATCCTCCCGAATGGTGGTCAAACAGCTCAATCAATCAACAACTCGGATTCGTATAAAACCGTTGAAACAATATCAACGTCGACATTTTATTAAGAAAGAGTCAGGACCCACACCAGACTGTAAAATAAGGCCTGCGCAGGAGTATACTTCTAGCTAGAAATCCGTCTTATAAGGGCTTATTTTGAAACATTGCAGACATTTAGGCCTTGGTCTGTCACAATATATAACCTGTCTCTTATACACATCTAGATGTGTATAAGAGACAGAGACTAGGCTTATCTTAACTTAAACAGGCCAGTCCTATGAACCAAATCTACTAGGCCTAGCCTGTCTAGAATTGGACAAGGCTTAACATAGGTGTGCCTTTTAGTAGGCCTAGGCAGGGCTATGTAACACTGAGTAAAATTAGCATACTTTAAGAAGCAGTGTATTCTGTACTAAGACCACTGAAATTAGCCTTCAAAATGTAAATGAAGCATTCAATAAACAATTTTCATGGATTAGGAAGTTTATTTTTTTTCACATGCGCTAGCCTATGATAAGGCTTTGGCCTAGGCCAGGCCTACCCACATATTTGCTATGCAACAAATTCATACTAGAAGTAGACTATATCATGCTAATGGCAGGGAAATAGAGCATTATGATTGTTTTTAATTAATTTTATAATATAGCTTTTTATTGTAAATAGATTAAAAATTGATGTGCAATGCATACTAAATCGTAAAATATAATGTTTTATATTAATGTGTTTTTATTGCACGTAACTCACTTTGGCAGATGACTGGCCAGTAGTTACAATTTATACAGATCGGGAGGTTAAACTTGGTTAACTTTTCATTTCTCGCTGGACGATTCACAGTGTAGGGATAATAGAAACAAAGTAACTGTGTAGCTATTTTAAAGAAACCAGGTTTATACTGACATTTAAATTAAAGTATTTTTGCTTTCTAACAAATACCAGTGGCTTAACAATTATGAGCACTTGCTAAATAAAGTCAGGGGCCCCAAAACCATGAGTGGCACCGGGATGGCTTAAAAAAAATTGCCCATAATCAGCCAAGTGGAGCCTTTTAGAAGACCATCAAAATGCTTCTTTAAATGTCAAAACCACAAAAGCGAGTTAGGCCCCATGTCCCACTGGGCTCTGCACAAACTCAGCCCACATGGTAGTAGGGAAATAAGCCTTAGCCAGGGGCTCCAGGCCTCTTTGTTGCATCAACTGCATATACTGTACCTTCTGCTATCCTGCTTGCTACTACATCCTGGATCTCTCGAGTTAATGCATTGCCAATGGTGATGTCATCCTCTTGATTCAAGCTTAGTAAATACTGACAGACAAACTGTGAAGAAATGAATTCATTTGATCAACAATACATTATGCACCAAGGATTGTTAATAGCAATATATATATCACTGTCATACCTGTAGGTGACAATCCCTTTTACAAGATGAAGATACAGTACAGACAAAATGCTTTACACAAGTTAGATCTCGATATGAGGCTTAGGGAATGGGGTTGTTTTGAGCAAGCCAAATGGCCGAGCGGTTAAAGCAGGGGCACCGTGATCATAGCCAACAATATCGGCACAGGTTCGCGGCCGGCTCGCTCCTATAGTTCTGGTGGTGGAACAAGTCTTCTCGGATAAGGACTATAAACCGTAGGCTCAGTGTACACAAACGCTCATGTGCACTTTAAAGAACTCAGTACATCTTTCGAGATGAGTAGGGGGTTACCACAGTGTACTGGTTCATTCGGCCCCTGTCGTGGACAGATGAAAGTGCGCCGGTTTACTGGCTGCTGAAGACATGAAGTGACCCTTAGGGGAGGAGAAAGTAATTGTAAAGTGCAACATCTAGTCCCGAGCACATAGAGACCATGTATTATGCGCTATAAAAAAGTCTCCAACCATAACCAACCAACCATGTGACAAAATATCCTGCAACACCGACAGGAATTGAACCCAGGACCCTGGGATTGGAAGGCAAGGATCCTTACTACAAGCTATTCATCTCTGCTCCTAATATTGCATCAGATGCACACCCAGTAAGGGGGACCCCACCATTTTGCCACTAAACTAAAAAATTAAATGGAAATCTATTCTGAAAATGTTGTGTGCTTCCCCCCACCCCTGTTTGAAAAATTCTGGATCCGCCAATGTGCATCGTTACTCATATTCGTTTAACCACAATTTCTTTATCATTTATAGAGGAAGAAAGCTGTCCTGTCAAATGCACTTGTTTTTAAAATGCTACAATTTTCAGTGTTTTATGTAACCTAAAAATATGTTGTGGTATAATAGGGAAAAACTTTAAAAAAAAACCAATTATACATTGTACAAATATTAGGGTCATATACCTTATCAATTTCCAAAGAGACTCAGATAAAAACAAATTCAGTTTTCACCGAATTTATACACTTTTTACTATAAAAATCAAGCGTCTAAGGAAAACACTTTATAATTTTTAATATTAAGCTAAATATACAAGGTAAGCAATTCAGATATATAATTGAATTTTTCTAATTTTTTCGTTTAACATCAACATATGGTCTAATACATTTCGGTGTTCTGTATTCATTCACGTATGACCACCACATTCCAATTCTTGATACAGTTAAACTAAGTACTCAAAGGTGTATGAAAAAAATGTAAGTCAGAAACACGAGAAGTGCTCACCCAGCTACCAAGTAAAAATGGGTGGAACATCTTCTGTAGGAACTGCACCAGGGTCACACCATGTGTTGTCACAGAGATGGTCTCACCAGATATCAACACAAAGTATGATGCATCCAACTTCCTGAGGATTGCTTCAAAATCCTGAAGGAACGTAGAAATAGAAATTATTGGCATTAGTCATACAACTCCGATTCTTCTGTACAAATCCATGCAGATAATAGTGGGTGGTTACTATCATGCCCATTCACATGGGTCTCTGGCTACTACGTTTGTTTACATGGGTCTCTGGTTATCATGTTTGTTCACATGGATCTCAGGTTATGTTTGCAACAGTAGGTGGATCTCTGGTTATCATGTTTGTTTACATGTCTCTCTAGTTATCATGTTTATTTACATGGGTCTCTGGTTATCATGTTTATTTACATTAATTATTTCTTTAAATTAATTTAAAACATCCTTCCGATTGGCCAATGTGTTTGTAAAACTTACCTGAGTTGTAGTCCTAGGATGAAATATAAACTCTTTTGACATCAGACTCACTAAGAAACGATACCTATTGAACATAACACCTGTAAAACAAGAAAATCATTGGGGTTTTTTTTCAAATTTTATAATCTGTGGTTGAAGAATTCCAGACTCTACCAGAGGTAATGATAACACACGTCGCTGACCAAATAAGAGCAATGATTCAACAATCGGAAATAACTTTAGAACAGCTGTACAAATGATGTATAACTTCTGTGGCTCCCTCCATTAAAGCTATGCTTTTTCATTGTCCAGGGAAAAGATTGCTATCTCTTTTGCAATCATTCCGAACTACTTTTTAGGAGTTCCCACACAGAACTGTCACAGAAGAAAGGCAAGTGCATGAAAACCTGATGTACATGGAGTTACAGAAACCCCAGAGCCAAGTCTGAAACTTTAGCGGATGCAGAAGATGTATGGCCAACTGAATCAATTACATAACATTATCAGGAGCAGATTCAAGAGACTGACCAGAAACTCCCTAATTAAAAAAAAAATAAATAACAATTTCCAGCCATCTGGAGATGACATAACTATAAAATTTCATGCCTCAGCCTAACTGTGGTGGGGCTGAGGTGGTTTAGACCCTTTGTCTGTAAAAGCCCCTCCCTAGGCCTCCTCTATTTCCAATTCTTGGATCTACCACTGATCATGGACATGCATAAAGGGAAGAAGTGGAAGTAGCAGTCAAAAGAATACAATAACAAGAGGTATTGCATCCAAAACTCAACCCAAAGAGGGATAATTTCATACTCATACAAATGCTCAGATGAATATTACTGGGCAATTTATTCCTCACCTTTACTGAGAGATTTAAGGTTGGAAAATGTCAATGCTATCATAGCCGCCTGCTTCATCATTGGGGTTAACTGGTTCCTGTAGCTACTCAAGAGGATGTGGGTCGTTGCTATGGTCATGACCTCCTCTTTTGTCATGGCAACAGTAGGTGGAGCTTCACCAGGAGCAATCCATGTCGAAGCACTGTTGACGTACACTCTGTTGTCCTTCATAAGCGATGCAGCAGTGTGGTGTACTGCAAGACTAGACTTCACCACTGACAGCAGACTATCACTGACTAAATAACCAATCAAAATGTAGTATTCAAATTATAAAATTGATATATCTGACCAAGAGATTTTATGGAAGATTAGGTTCAGGGGCGGATTTAGGGGGGGGCCGGCCCGGCCCCCCCTTTTGGGAGGTAAAAAAAGAAAAAAAAAGAAAAAAAAAGAGAGAAAAAGGAAAAAATGATGGCCAAGAATGCCTCAAATGTTATGTTCGGGCGTCTAGAACACAAAAATTTCGCGGGGCATGCCCCCGGACCCCCTACGACAGTGTTGTCTCAATCGGCCCAACTTTCGGGCCCCCTTCCGGCCCCCCCTTTTGGACATTTCTGGATCCGCCCCTGAGGTTCTATAAATTATTTTACAGAAAGCAGACCATGACTGACTACTGTAAGTAACCAATCAAAATGTAGTAAGTAGTAGTATTCCAATTAGTTCAAAACAAACCATCTAAAGATTTATTATACATAAAAGTATTATATCTGACCTATATTATTAAAGAAGTTTAGGTTTTGTTAATATTTATATTTATTATAATTAAGCATCCAAAACTCAACCCAAAGAGGGATAATTTCATACTCATACAAATGCTCAGATGAATATTACTGGGCAATTTATTCCTCACCTTTACTGAGAGATTTAAGGTTGGAAAATGTCAATGCTATCATAGCCGCCTGCTTCATCATTGGGGTTAACTGGTTCCTGTAGCTACTCAAGAGGATGTGGGTCGTTGCTATGGTCATGACCTCCTCTTTTGTCATGGCAACAGTAGGTGGAGCTTCACCAGGAGCAATCCATGTTGAAGCGCTGTTGACGTACACTCTGTTGTCCTTCATAAGCGATGCAGCAGTGTGGTGTACTGCAAGACTAGACTTCACCACTGACAGCAGACTATCACTGACTAAATAACCAATCAAAATGTAGTATTCAAATTATAAAATTGATATATCTGACCAAGAGATTTTATGGAAGATTAGGTTCTATAAATTATTTTACAGAAAGCAGACCATGACTGACTACTGTAAGTAACCAATCAAAATGTAGTAAGTAGTAGTATTCCAATTAGTTGAAAACTAACCATCTAAAGATTTTTTATACATAAAAGTATTATATCTGACCTATATTATTAAAGAAGTTTAGGTTTTGTTAATATTTTTTTCAAATAAAGACACAATTAATAAATATTCCACCAATCAGCAGCAGGCTGCACCTTCCAATCAGTATTTCCCTGTTTGACCTTTCTGCAGATATTATTCTCCTGATGACGATTGAAGCAACTCAATCGAAAAAAGACATTCTCAACAAAATACAACTTTTCAGAACTATCTATGTAGTGTACCGCAATCATTTAATAAATGTGCAATTGATAAAATTAAAAACAAAGAGTATATTTACCTGGCCATTTAATATTTCCCCCAAAGTTTATAACAATATCTTTCAGCCATTCCACCCTCTTGCACAAATAATCCAGATGAATACCTCTTGGTGACTGGATGAGAAGGCTAGCAATGAGTACCCATGGCGACACAACCAAACTCTTCTGCTGTTCTAGTAGTACAGTGTAAGCCAGTTCAAAGATGAACTGCTGGTCTGGCTTGGTCAGTGAAAATAAGAACCTGCAAATGGATAATAATTTGTACACAATACTATAGATTGATACTGCTGTACCACATTGAAAACCCTGGTTTGTCAGACCACCAAAGTTAAGCATTGTTGGACTTGGTTAGGCGAGTCGAATGGCCGAGTGGTTAAGGCAGGGGCGCCAAAAGTTACAGCCGTAATATCGGCACTGTCTTGAAGGTCACCCTCGCCTATAGTTCTGGATGTAAAACAAGTCCATAGGCCCAGTGTATACAATTGGGAGAAGTAGTTAGAATGAGCAGTCCACATCCACCTCAAGCTGAAGCCTTTCAAATATGAAGTTGGTCCTCAATCTGCCATAGAAACAATCGCTGCTGTAGGCTTGAGCGAGTTGAATGGTCGAGCATTTAAGTAGGACCAGACACTTCACATGTACTTTAAAAAAACAAGAACATCCTTTGGGAAGAGTAGGGCTAAGCCCAGTGAATTAGCTCAACTGTCCTCTATCTATTATTGTTAACAAGAAAAAAAGGAGCACCTACAAGCAGCAATTGGATGGTCCGACCCTTGTTGGGTGAATTTATGCCTGTAAATTCAGCCAAGTGAACCTGTGAGGTTATTCTTCACGTTTATCTAAGATGGATGGATGGATAGCTTAGATATTTGTAGATACTGTACTGATGTATATGGATAGATTAATAGCAAAAAAAACATAATGGCTTGTAGAGAAACTTAGGAAATTAGTGTTGGGTCCCTAAGGATCTACAAGATAGCTGCAGTGTAGCACCACGCCTGCTGGTGAATTAGGCTGAAAATCCACTAGTGGTTTCCACAAGAAATACTATAGTTTTTAATGTGCATATGGGCCACTTAGAACACAGGAGAAATGGCTTAAACGTGTCTTCTGAAAGATAATGAGTTATGAACGATATTTCTAATACATTTTACCTTGGTGACAAACTATAAGCAGCCCTCTCCACATGTCCTTCGCAAAGAGTTCGAATTGAGATTGGATCTCCAAAGTTAATGTAGATGCTTCCGTAGTCATCTTCAAAAATGCTGCGAGCTTTAATCAGGCCCTAAACAAAAAAAATACTGATGCACTGTCAAGAATTTAATTAATATATAATTATTATTAAGAGTTATAATTTTTCATATGTATGTTATTATCTATCTATCTACAGTACCTACATATATCTATCTATCTATCTATCTATCTATCTATCTATCTATCTATCTATCTATCTATCTATCTATCTATCTTCCGATAAGTACAGGCCTCTGTGATGTGAGGGTCATCGTACTTGTAGAAGCATGGACTAGTTCGTACATTAACTTTCTTCTCCCCTAAGGGTCCCTTCGTGTCTGAGCTACCCGTTAAACCAGTACCAGCTACCATCATCTGTCCACAGCAGAGGCTGTATGTACCAGCACACTGGGGTAACCCCCTACTCATCTCCAAAGATGTACTGAGTTCTTTATAGTGCACATGAGCCTACGATTTATAGTCCTTATCCGAGAAGACTTGTTCCACCACCAGAACCATAGGCGAGTGTGCTGTTCGAACCAGCGCCGATGTTTATGACTGTAGGTTGCAGCGCCTCTGCTTTAACCACCCGGCCATTAGGTAATATATAGCGATTAAATCTGAGTAAAACCCTTCATTCAATTTAAACATTCTACTTTCCATTATAAAATAGTTTAAATATGTCAAAATTTCATTGAAATTTTGAGACACATCTTTTGAAATAGTTCTTTGCCAATTTACAGTTGCAAAAATTATTAAATTGTCTGGCAAAAATAAAGGAATACCATGTATGTATCTAATAATTGATGACCAAACTGTTCTCACATTCAAAATTCCATTCACATATCCTGTTTTCTGTTCAGATTTACTAATAAAGCTAAAAATAGACTGAGTTTATAAAGTATCGACTAGCTCTCATTGAGTAACTTTCTTTCATCAATATATGAGAATCCCCTTCCATTTCTTTACTTAAGGCCAGACTTAAAACTCATCCATCTAATTGTCGTTTTGTCTCTTCTCCATCTTATTTGTTTCTTTTATTCAACTTCTATTGGACATTTGTTGAGAGACATAGTAATATGCGCTATGCAAGTCTACAGCCAATACTTGCTGTAGCTGTAGTGTTAATTGTGAATAAAAAAAACCAAACAAAATATATGTGGGAATGAGAGGACTTGTCTCACCGATGTGGATTCCTTTGGTTTCGGTATTCCCAACATCTCCCTGGCATACAGGAACTCCTCAAGGGTCCTCTCATAGCTTACTCCAATGGGAATGAGGCTAACGTCAGCTACCTTGCACTTTAGGAACGGCTCCAACACAACAGATAACAAGCCTTCAGCAAAAAATATATAAATATTCATTATCTATTGAAAGTGTAACTATGGCGATAAATTCTAAAAATTATAAAAATATAATACCTGTACTCTGGTTGTTTTTATATCATCATCATAATATTCAAAAACACTAAGGTAACTCTCACCTAACTTTGGCGGAAGGGACTTCCCTGTACGACTCCTTGTTCCCTCCAAGAAGAATTCCACTGGTGCTTCACCGTTCACTATCAACTTCTGCACGTACTCTGTGAACACAGCCCAGTACAGCTTGTCCGAACCGAAACTACGACGGATGTAGAAAGCACCAGCCCAGCGTAGAATTTGATTCACAAATTTCATTGCCATGAAATCTAGAGAGAAAATTATAAATGAAAGCAATACAATTATATAATACGAATGATAAATAGAATAAGCTTTAAGAACCATATGTTGGTGTACAGTATTAAGTAAGCGCATTGTCTAATAACATTCTTGACCCCAAGGGTTATGTCAGGCGAGTCGAGTGGCTAAGCAGTAAGGCAGAGGCGCCGCTAACTACAGCCTTAACATCGGCGTTGGTTTCAGCCGCTCCTCGCCCATGGTTTGGTTGGTAGAACCAAGTCTTCTCAGAGAAGGACTTAAGATGGAGGCGCCGCCGCCTAGTGTATACGTCTGGCTCGTGTGCATTTTAAAGAACCCATTGCATCTTTCGGAAGAGTAGGGGGTTACCCCGATGTTATGGTTCATTTCAGCCCCTGCCGTTGTGGAATGATATGAACATGTACAGTAGCTACTATAAGGGCCTCTTTATGGCTGCTAGGTAGTCACAGAACACGTCCCTACGCAATTCAGCAAAGTGATGCTGCAAGTTATAGGTAATTTACCTTTACCTTTGTGTCTACCTGGTCAACAGAAGCTATATTCTCGTTTGTCCAGCAAAAAGGCTGTTTGGACCAGCACACCATGGTATAACCTACTAGTCTCTAATGATGTACAGTACTGGCTTTCTTAAAGTGTTCCCCAGCCCTTTTATGTACACTGGACCTACAATTTATATTTTAGTTGTTAATATCCAAGATGACTTTTTCTGCCACTACAGCAATGGCGAACGTGCTGCTCGAAGCAACTCTGATATGATATTGCACTCTGTAGGTTTATTATTTATTTTATAGGTGTTATGTATGATAATGCCATGTATTTCTTGTTTATTTGCTTTAGGACTTTTTTCATTCTTTTAGTTTCTAAGATAGCTTAATCGAAGTAAAAAAAAAACCTTGAATCTCAATTATATGCCAGGATTTTGGTGGGTGTCAGTGTGGGTATTTGTGTGGGTTTACACTTATGAATGCTCTCACCTGCACCAGCTGCTATTCTTGGTAATGGAAGGTTATAGTGATAAAGGATATACGACATTAATAAGAAATCATTATAGCTTCTATGCGATGGTAGCAATACCACAGGAGTTTCTTTCATAGTTTTCCGTAACTGAAAAAAAATAATAAAAAGAACACTTGATATTTCTATTGCCTGTTTTCATTGGAGAAATTTTTAACAGTGCAAATATGATTGCTCATTGACAACAACCAATTTGTCACAAAAATAATGTTATCATACTTAAAAAGTGCATACTTGTTGGGACATAAGAAAATTATTTCAATAAAACAAACCAAAAACCTATATTAATACTTTAACAAGCTTAATTTTCATTCTCTATGTTTAACCCTAAAAACTAATCATCTTCCCTAAAATAAGTCTGGCTGATTGAGGAGCTCATCCAGCTTTTGTTTAGCTAAATAGTGAGTTTTTGATTGGCATGACAATGGTAGGACCTAGAATGTAGTGATGTCACTAAGAAGTCATCTAAGAAGAACATTGAGTTATCGTCTGAATTCTAGTAATCAATTTGCACGTTGTGCAAGAACAGTCACAGATGAGTGAATCCGTTTTAGAGTGACGTCGTTACGAAAGCGATCATCCCTATAATTTTTCTTGCTACTACAGCCAATCTCCCACCAGCAGCTGGAAAAAAACACGAAATGGGGTTGCAAGTCACGATGCCAGCGCCCCAATAGAGGGATGTTTGTTTACAGGCGGTCATATGACCTACGGTAGTTGTACCATAGAAAAAATTACAGTGCAATCAGTAAAATGTAATGTTATGGTTTAGAAAACAACCACCCACTGTTAACGCAAGAAATAATTGGCAAGGAAAAGCAATACGATTGTTCAAAATAGTGTTTACTTATTCCAGCGTTCTTGCATATGCTTTGAAATATTTGTGATCCTTCATAAAACTTAGCTAGCCTAGAAATTGCAGCGTAGTCTGCAGGTAGAAAACACTTGTGCATACCTAAACAGGCCGTAAAAAGCAGGGGCCTAGGCCCAAAATTTGTCGAAAAATCTCAAATTCCCTTGGACGAAAAGCCACACAAAATTTTTGTGGTGAATTTCCGGACATCATCAATTGACTTAGAGTAGCATTACGTACAAAAGAACAAATACAGAAATTATGATCTTTACAGCCACCATAGCAATCTCTGCTGTGCCAGTTCATTGTTTACATCCAACACCCAAGTTAGCTCATGTAACGCCCATCGCCAAATCCCTCTATTGTTTAACGTCATAACCAGCACAAGGCAGAAAAAAGTATAACCAGTATTGTACAGTACATTTTTAAAATGTAAATTTACTGTATAATACACTTTTTTATAGAACTATAACAAGTCACATTTAAAATATATTTAAACAGTTTTTACCTTCTCAATACCAGCTCTGTTTACATAAATGTGTTGATATAAATTTCTGTAAAACTTAGGAAACAAAAACCCTAGCACACGGATATTGGACATCTTGAAGTTATGTGCCATCTCCTGCAAAATGCTTTCTGCTTCTTTCGCCAGCTCTTCCCCTGTCTCTTATACCCATCTAGATGTGTATAAGAGACAGGGGTTATGTCAGGCGAGTCGAGTGGCTAAGCAGTAAGGCAGAGGCGCCGCTAACTACAGCCTTAACATCGGCGTTGGTTTCAGCCGCTCCTCGCCCATGGTTTGGTTGGTAGAACCAAGTCTTCTCAGAGAAGGACTTAATGTCCCTATTTAAAAACTACGCTAAAAACCTAGTCTCTATTAGCTGTGAGGGTACTCGCCGGTCCGCAATCTAATTGCCGGCCCCGAACACTTCTCCCCACAGAAAAAAAACTAACTAATCAAAAATCAGAGCCGCTAGTAACGCAATACAAAGTACGTGCGAAAACACAATACTTATGCCTATTACTAGCTCTCAAAAAACTATTATAGTACTTTTGCACTAATAATGACAAGCAATGCCTACGAGCCTTTTGCTCGCAGCGCCAATGTAGTATTTATCCTACATAGGCACTAAAAAAACAAGCAATGTCTACAAGCCTTTTGCTCGCAGCGCCAATGTAGTATTTATCCTACATAGGCACTAAAAAAACAAGCAATGTCTACAAGCCTTTTGCTCGCAGCGCCAATGTAGTATTTAATAATATAACTAATTAAACTACACCGACGACAAGCCTTTTGCTCGCAGCGCCAATGTAGTAATTATCGCCTATATATACTGTGATATAAAAGGTACCGAGTGGAGCTTACCTTTATCCAATAGGATGTATTCCTAGGGCGACAATTAATACTCCAATATATAAACACAATATAGTACACACCGTATATAGCTCGGTATATACCTTGTATAGCAGACCCGGACACCAGATACACCTAAACGAATCCTGTAGTAAGGTAAACGATGCTCTCAGCATAAGGTCTAGTGTACGAGTGACTATATCTCACCAGGTACCCCTGGTCGGCTGTGCAGCACACCCGGCTGTGGGTTATGCAGATGAGCTGACCTTGAGGTCATGTCCTCCTGCGTAGATCGGGGATACGAACGTACGGGGGTCGTCACTACACTACCTAGGCCCTAGAAGAGCTAGGCCTAGCCTAGGCCCTAGGCAGGGCTAAATATGCGTTAATTGACAGGTAAATAATAGATTATATCAATGCAATGTTTGCTATTTTCATTATTAATGCAAAACTCTGCATTCTACCTGGTACAAGTTTAGGCCTCTGGCCAGGTTTAGTTCAGCAGACAGAGGCTAGGGCGTCTCGTGGACTGCTGTGGCCTGATGATGATCTGAGTTGCTTGCAGCTCCTTTTTATGTCGAATCTTCAATCTAGGGGTTACGTTACGCTAGCTACCTGCAGGGCTCAGCAGGTATTGTATGCCAAAACAGGCTGCGGTCATGTTCGATCTCCATAACCGCGCTACGTCTGTTTGGAGTCTACTATTTCATTTCGAGTAGCCTAGGCCGTGGTACAAATGTATGAGGCGCCAAGTGTAAATTTATTATTTAACACAATTATTTATAATAATTCATTATTTAACATATAATTGACTAGATCACCCATTATTTATATATAGTGCATTTACGTCAAATAATTGCGTTAACGTTTCATTATTTATATATAATTAGTTTACTGATTACATTATATATAAATAATGAAAGGCTAACCAAACATTATTTATATATAATAAGGTTACTGGTTTCATTATATATAAAGGAAGGGGAAACACATCATTATATATAAATAATGAAAAATAACTTACAATTATTTATATATAATAAGTTCACTGATTCCACTATATATAAATAATGAAAAGGTAACAAATCATTATATATAAATAATGAAAAGTAACTTACAATTATTTATATATAATAAGTTCACTGATTTCATTATATATAAATAACGAATTGACTTCAAAGTCATTATTTATAAATAACTGCTTTTACATTTCTTTATAAATAAATAATAGCTGTCGCAAAACCATAATGCTTGGATTTCAAACTCATTACAGTATATGTAATGCACACGTGTTACGTGTCAAGGTCATTATATCTAAATAATGGTTTTTACTTCCAATTATATATAGGCCTAAATAACCGTTGAAATCGAGTGCCATTATACCTAAATAATGACATCGTAGGAAGCATGGTTTATATATAATTCGTTCAATGACACTAATTTAAAACATTTTGCGTTCTGTTAGGACAAATGCTCGTTTGGATAGCCTCATGATGCTTGAAATACATCGCGATAGGGGAATCAGCCTCGACCTTGACATCGTGGTTGACAGATTTCGTGCAAAATTTCCATAATGTAGAATTCCACTTTAAAAAAAAAGAGGATTTGTAAGGAAATTAGATGGTTGCATTGCAAACTCTTTGTTTCTTATTTTATTCAAAATGTTTTGGTTTTTGAAGCTGATTTCGACATTAGAAAACATAGCCTACATGAAGTCATATTATAGTAGCTCGATGCCTATCAAATAAGTAATAAAAATTCGCCATAATTCGTCAAATATCCGTGGCTGCCTGGAACCCCACCGCAGTGACATAAGCAAGAATTTAGTCTAATGAAACTTGTTTATCACCTTGATACTTTCCGACGAAAATATCACCGAAAAAATAGATAAAACGACAGTTGAATGACCAACAAAGACAACTGAAGACAATAGGTTGTCATTAGAAGTTATTTAGTATAACTTTATTCGGAAAATTAATCCTAAAATCGAGTTGCCGTCCCCGGCGTTGTCAGTGACGTCGTATGATTTGTGTGCGATTTTTACCAATTAACCCCTAAGTAAAAAATAGTTGAGCCATGTAGTACCTTGTAAATCAATCCAGAAGCCTGGTAGTTTGTTGATTGTTTATTGGTAGCGTCCTCGCTGCCAAAAATAGTTTTTTGGCAGTTGCGCCCCCGGTGACATCGTGAGGGCATGGTGAAGGCTGGTTACAATTTGGTATTTTCATTCATCTGGCCATGTAAGTCAGTGGCGTATCTAGATGTCTTGAAATGGGAGGGGGCGCGAAGTTGAAGTGGGGGGGGGGGCTCGATGGTTGAGGGGCGCTAATTCTCAATCGCAAAATAAGGTGATTTTAGGTGATGTTTAACTACTTGACTGTGATTTGAAACCAGTGTCAGTATAATAGGTAAGCATGTGGTTAACTTAAGCAAGAATTTAGTCCAATGAAACTGTTTATAATCTTGATATAACAGTGCCATTCTCCAACTTTATCTCATGCAGCCACACACATGACGGGACTCATGTAATTTTCCTAGTTTTTATGTATGACATTGCCATTTTCCGGCATCAAAATTCCCCAATTTTTAACATTTTCTCACCTCCATGATGGGGATAGGCCTTTGTGGATATAGTAATTTTGGGGTTTTTTATGTATTTGTCATTTTCTTGCATCTAAAAGTCTCTAATTCTTAAAATTGTTTTACCTCAGCCTCAACCATGGTAGGCTGAGATAGATGGATTAAAATTTTCATAAATTTTAAGTAACCGAGTGTTGTTTGGGGCATCTATAAAGTCTCAAATTCTTGCAATTGACTCATCTGCGCCCCAAAACCATGGTGGGGCTCAGGTGGATATCGTAAATTTTGTACTATTCAAGTGCTTTTTTGTGCATCTAACGAGTCTCAACTTCTCAAAATGTTCTCACATGAGCCGCAACCATAGTGGGGCTCAGTTGAATATGGTAGTTTTTAGAATAGTAAGTACTTAAATTCCATTTTCGGGTGCCTAATTAATTAATGGGGGGGGGGGGTTTACTCAATTTGTCAAAAACATTATTATTTATTAGGTAATGTAAGTTCCATTTTGGGGCATCCAGTGGTATAAAATACTGAAATTTTTGCGTCACCGCCAACCACGATGGTACTGACGTGATGTGGACTCTCATTACATCAGCACCCCCTTCTTTAAAATATGGATACGCCACTTTGCTGAAAACTATAGTTAAGATAAATATATTTCCATTCGTTTTGTTGTTCATGTAAATGTCTGATAGGTTATTACTTTAAAACAATGCTAAAAACACAGTGTCAATACGAACATTTACACATACACATGTAAGACTGAGCTGTTATACACATCTAGATGTGTATAAGAGACAGCATGTCCTCCTGCGTAGATCGGGGATACGAACGTACGGGGGTCGTCACTACACTACCTAGGCCCTAGAAGAGCTAGGCCTAGCCTAGGCCCTAGGCAGGGCTAAATATGCGTTAATTGACAGGTAAATAATAGATTATATCAATGCAATGTTTGCTATTTTCATTATTAATGCAAAACTCTGCATTCTACCTGGTACAAGTTTAGGCCTCTGGCCAGGTTTAGTTCAGCAGACAGAGGCTAGGGCTGTCTCTTATACACATCTAGATGTGTATAAGAGACAGCTTGTTGGCATTTTGCAGCCCTGCCTGTCTCTTATACACATCTAGATGTGTATAAGAGGACTGCACTGTCCATACCTACGCCACTGGACCTAAGTATTATTAGTGGTTACATAATGTTTGCTATGCACTATATCATGCGCTATAGAAGTGGAAGACCATAATGTATTGGAAATATACCTCTCTCTCGCTGGTAGGGCCTACAGTACAATCAGTTTAAAAGTGTACTGTATAGGATAGTGGGGATTTAAACATTTTCCTAATGGTAATGTTCAAAATAAGTGTCAAGGAAAGTAAGTATGATTGTTGGAAAAAAATGGTTAACATTTTATTTTGAATTCTCACCCTGACCTTCGCTTGGGCGCAGTGGGCGAAGGTCTGGATCCGCGTCTAGTTAGCATGAATTTTGTAAGCCAGGACCCATAGTATTCTGTTACGTTTCTCCACAGAGTGGGGTTCGTCCGAACCCCCTGAACCCCCTCCCCACCCCTGGATCCGCCACTGTAATGTGCTAATAGTTAATATAGCTTTTAACGATGCGAAGCGAAGACGAAGTCCCCAATTTGGTGATTAAATCGGCAATGCCCTGAGAAAACTTCAAGCAACAAATTGAAATGCATAAAAAAGAAAGTGTATGTTTTACTAGAGTGCACGAGAAGCACACACACAAGACGAGTAACCATTATCTTTGTTCACGATAAACTAAGGGGGGTGGCTAGCCACCCTATTCACTACCACCCCCCCCCCCCTACTCTAGATCAGCCACTGATTGGGGTTTTGTATTTAAAAAAAACCAAACTATATTTGTAATTGAATTATATAATTTTGTAATAATTGTATTTGTAGATTTACGATTTAGGCCTATATTTGTAAATGGGAGCAACTTTAATTGTGTAATTGTTAATCACCATAGGAATTTAAATTATTTTTACGTATGTAGGTGTGTCAGAAGGTGCACAAATTAATGGTGTAGTAGTGTGAGACAGGGGCGGTTTTGCCACTATTTTAAAAATGTCAATGCATATTAATGTTATAAGGCTACTCATTTATCTATTCTGGAACTGTTGTGTGCCCCCTCCCCCTTTGAAAAATTTTGGATCCGCCCCTGTAACAAGTATCAACAGTACAGTAATAATGACATCATACCAATTTTCTTCTGAAGTTCAAAACCCACTGTTTTTGTTTTTTAACTTGTGGAAAGGATAATATTGACTAAGTTAGTATAATTTAAGATATATCATTATTTTTATGAATGTGGGTATGTTTGTTTGTTTATTTATTTATTTACTCTAAGATAAAGGAAATTCCTATTCCCAATAGAATTCAATAGAGATGGCAGGCTATAAAGGAAATTCCTATTCCCAATAGGATTCACTTACCATATACATTCAGAACAAATAGAACTTTATTATTTGTTAACCTAAATATCCATTAAATAAGACTTGCTATACATAAGACTATAGGCGTCTTTCCCGTCTTCCCCGGAACCGACTGGGGCTTTCCCCTGCCTCCCAGCAGGCAAAGCTTGAGCAAATTGTTAGCTCAAAAATAGAAATAATAGAAATTTTTAAGTAATTCGTATATAACTCGCACATGGTGTTATTCGCACAAGTGGAT